ACAAAGAGTAGATCAACCTGAGCGATCGCAAACGATTTTAAGCCACGTCATTCAAGGTCTCTAACCATCGGTGACTTTAGTCTCACGGACCCCAACCAGGTAGTCTACATCTACCAACATGACTCAGTCCACTTGTCAGTGACTTCATGGATTTGTGCCATGTGTTGATTTGGCCGCCGCTAACAAAACGAGCGCTCTACCACTGAGCTACACCCGCCAAAGCTGTGATAGACTGGTAGAATTATTCTTTCACACGATAGTAAAGCTATCTACCATGAGGAAATTAGTGCCTGTCTATATGGTGAATGCTTAAAACCTAGACTATTTAGTCAACCTGAAAGGTATAGTTACAAAACATTTTATCATGAGCGAAATTACTATAAGAACATATTTCTGTGAATATTTAAAGTGAAGCTATCGGAGTGGTTGATCTGGGACCTCCGACAAACATTACATTCGTGTAGCATAGTACATGATCATTTATTTAGTTGGAACAGCCCACATAAAAACAGATTTGCATTCAAGTAAATAGCTAGTTGTTTTTCAGAATACGAAGTATTCATTTGATGTTACTTCTAGATTGAAATCCCTCTAGAATATTCCAAAATGAAGGACTTTATATTACGCATCATATTCACACAATGAAATTATTAGTATTATTGTGATTATTATCTCTATTGTCAAGCTGTTCTAGGAGAAATCATATTTACACAATCTATTGTACTGATTACCAACTGGCACCACCTTTTATCCATTCTGATATTCATTAAATGACCTTTCTAATTAACAACTAACTTTATCATGCTTCAGTGTGTTATGGTTGAAAATATTGATTGAAATGGAAAACTCCAGTAAATTAAGGGTGTGTGTACACAGTATCACGTAAATTCTTGTAAATTTTCTCTCACGATGTGGTCCTATTTTAACAAATCAATGAACACTGACAGCCAAAAATTCATTTTTCACTGTTGATGAAGTTATTAAACGGATTAATTAACTGACATTCTGACTGATAAGCTAATCAGAACCAAAAAAAAATTTGAATGAACCAAATGACTTAGGTACATTCTTATAGTTTTTTTTTAAGAAAGCATATGACGTTTTGAATATTTTGTCCAAGTACAAAGATAACATTGTTGATAGATAGAACTATGAAAATCATTTACATTACATTAGTAGGTTTGATTATAATCAAACTAATGTCATGCAGATTGAGAACGGAATAGAGAACTATTCATCAACAATGATTGCACTAATCATTATAATTTCTGAATTTCAGTTGAAGCTAGTTGAATAAAACCAAACTGTCAAGAGAGGAACGACCCATGCAGATAAGGTTTTACACTGATGCTGTCTAGAAAGGTGCAGAAAGTGCTTACAGGAAGAGAATCTCATGAACCAAATCACAGAGGGAACGGTTTGTAATGAATATCATCAGATTCTGCGTCACTACCAATAACAGAAGGCATGATAATGAAAATCAGTTCTAATAGAGGCTTCAGTAGATCGTACAGAAATGCCCAGGAATCGGTACGATAATCCAGACCGCGGACCTGAACATCAGTGTCTGAGAGAACAGCATTGTGTTTGAAGATGTCATTGGATGATATGGACTGTAAGTGAAAAGAGACCGATCGACTCATGTATTTTCCACAGCATGGTTGGAAATAGAACCAATTTCTACCACAAACACATATACAAAGCTATATGAGTTTGATCAGATTATAATTAATAGAACCAGGTCGATCACAGAGCACAATCGTAAAAATTCCAGAGGATTCACGGAGAATATGAGAACAAAGAAATGAGCCAATATGAATAAAGATCAATAACTGATAGTGGTCAAGATGCGACTGGAACTAGATAAGCCCCGTACAAATTGCGATCATAATAAATGTGAAAACTATAGAGGAATCAATCTGTTATTAATATAAGGAAAAGTCTTCAACGTGATGTTGTTAAACCGAATGAAAGATTCAGTAGATGCCTCACTACAAGTTCAGTAGGATGGGTTCTGTAAGGACCGGTTGTGTACCTATCTGATTGCACTGAACACCATGGATCATTCTTGAACAGTCAATGGAATTGAAATCACCACTGTACATCATCTTTCTTGATTATAAGAAAGCATTTGACGGCGTAGATAGCACGATATTATGACGACACAGTCGACAGCTCATAAACTAATTCCATGTGAAAACGGGTGTCAGATAAGGCTGCTTACCATCATCATATCTCTCTATCCCAGTGGTTGGCTGCATCAAGAAGACATCAGCATCTCAGTGGAAGCATGGAATACATCAGATGCAGGTGGAAGATTTGGAATCCGTAGATGAACTAGATCTTCTTTCTCACCTACACAAACAAAGACAGGGGAAGAAGGCGAGTCTAGCTGCTGCCTCTGCATACACAAGGGAAAAATCAAAATCCTCCAATACACACAACATGCACCAGTTAAATAAAACTTGATGGAGAAGTTCTTAAGTACGTGGAAACCATTACACACTTGGTCAGCATCATTGATAAACAAGGTGGATCTGATACTGATGTGCTGTTGGGGAACTGCGAAAGCCATCATCCACAAGATGCCGGTGTTTATTAACAGTTATTTACACAATAAACTAGTATCTGCTTGATCAGGCAGGCACCATCAACAACGACCTACTGTGATGGTGAACAAACCAGATTTCATCGGAAGGAGGAATTACGAGAAATCGCTGGTGGTGAAAATCAACCAATTATATTTGATTGACAATGACGCATCAAAAATATTGTGTACATTTAGTCTGATATTAAAATATGTCAAACTTGAATCAAAATTTGTCATGTCATAAAATGAAAATACTAAATTCAAATTATACTCGACACAATGAAGTTTTATTTTTCACAACACTATACAAAAATTATTCATCATTACAATGGGATTACATGTAATTAAAACAGAGTAATCATTGATTGACTGATTCATATTTGGGGATACTTGTCATCGAAATTGAATTTTGAATAAATTAGGAAATACTCCCATTAGAGAATTTGTTTGTATCAAAATGTGCCCCGTTTCAATTATTATTTCAAATCATATTGATTGTGCCTAATCCTAAAATAGAATCACACGCATAGAAAAACAAAATTAGTAAGCCGTAGTGAAAGTTAAGTTAAGTCAGTGTGTTGAATTGTGCGCCGTTGATTTCAATCAAATTCCACAATATAGTACACTAGCATCTTTCATTGATCAGTTGATAAGCAAATAAAAACTTGGACACTCTATACTTTCTCACCAAATCACTCTTGATGGAGATGCCTTGGAGGACGTTAACACCTTTACATATCTTGGCAGCATCATCGACAACCAAGGTGGATCCGATGCAGATGTGAGGGCGCGGATCGGCAAAGCAAGGGCTGCATTTCTACAACTGAAAAATATCTGGAACTCCAAACATATATCAATCAACACCAAAATCAGGATTTTCAATACAAATGTCAAGACAGTTCTACTGTATGGAGCGGAAACATGGAGAACTACCAAAGCCATCATCAAGAAGATAAAAGTATTCCTTAACAGTTGTCTTCGCAAAATACTTCGGATTCGTTGGCCAGACATGACAACCTACTGTGGGAGAGAACAAACCAGATTCCAGTGGAGGGGGAAAATCAGGAAGAAGCGGTGGAAGTGGATAGGACACACATTGCGGAAAGCACCTAACTGCGTCACGAGACAAGCCCTCACATGGATCTCTCAAGGCAAAAGGAAAAGTGGAAGGCCAAGGAACATATTACGCCGAGAAATAGAGAAAGATATGAGAGGAATGAACGCGAATTGGACAGAACTCGAAAGGGAAGCCCAGGACAGAATTGGTTGGAGAAAACTGGTGGGCGGACTATCCTCGATTGGGGGTAAGAGGCGTCAGTAAGTAAGTAAGTAAGTAAGTATATTTTCTCATTTATCAAATGACACAAGACAATAAATGCACACTAAATGAGACGTTCTTAAATTTTCTCTAGTATTCCACCGAATGTATCACATAATTCGCTAATTCGTCCTTTGCAAACTGGTGAAGATTGATGTGTGTGAATTTGTGTTTACAAATCAATCCCTTGTGTCTAACTACTATTTGTACTACTGTGGTCGAGTTTCATTCAGTGAGTTGGATGTTTTGATTGTGGATTTTTCTTTGTTCTTCTAAACAACATCATCAGCATAAACTTCAGATGATGTTGTTCAGAAGAACAATTAAAGCTCCACAAACAAAGCCTCCTGAACACAGAATGAAACTCCGTAACAACCTATAATCACTGTGTTACACATGAAAATGAAACAGGTGTATAGATGATACTTTAGATCAGAATTATCAAGGATAATCTGAGTTCAAATATGGTGACATTGACCTACATCAAGAGATCATAAAAGGAGAAGAAGTAACAACTTTGATAATTGATTCTTTTTGCGATAAATGAATTCAATCAAAATCTTTTTATTAAAATAAACTTCAGTGAACGTGTATCCTGAAATAAGAAACAGTTATTATTGGGGATGTTAGATCCCCAGAACTCGCTTGTTAAATGCCTTATTTTGGATTTCATGTTTGCGAGCATGGGCTGACCAGCTGACCTTGAGATTTCATTTCCCACCAGCAAAATCCATGGCTGTGAATGGCTGCCGTGTATTTTAGTGTGCTATTTTCGTAACTGTCTCAAGGACGTTTCTATGGTGTATAAATAAACGAGAGTTGTATGCTTGATTGTATTTAGTGATTGCTTGATGTTGTAGAATATACTTTCTACGCTTATCAGGTCTTATGTTTTGTAGTTTGGGATTCAAGGTAGCCTACCTGGACTCTGTCTCATTGTCTCGTTCGCTTTTATCGACTAAGGTGAACTCGTAGTCGCTTCAAGCGTACCTAGTGACGAACATAACAGTTATCAATTCGATTCCTCATATCAATAAAATTTACATAAACAAAGATTGACTAATTATTTTTCTTCGCACAAAATACACTTACGTTTTTTATGTAAAAATACTGGGAAAGCAATGCACACCACTCCAGCGATCAATAAAAATGGCATTAACAATGCAACGGTGAAACGACGAAACTCCATATTCACATTCATTGTTTGACTATTTACTAGCGTGCGTTGTTTTTCCGTGCTGCTGGTTGTTGAAAAAGTAGTCGGCTCCGTAGTGGCAGTTGATTCAGTGCTAGGAATACTCGACGAATTCATGTTCGATTCCTCTGAGTACACATCAGTCGTTTCGGAACACTTCTGAAATAATAAATATGCGATGACATGAATTTTTATTTAGTGAATGGATGACGATGAATTTGTTTCGTCATATGACTCTCGGATCAATGTCAATCAACTGTCCTTAAGTGTAATTAGTTCATTTTTACAATGAATTCATCACATATTTTCAATTAGAGTTATGGAGATTAGTGTTTTTACACATTTGAAATCATCAATCAATCATTGTTAGACCATCATTAGAAACCTGGAAGCACTGGACGGCCGTTTCGTCCTGATATGGGACTCATCAGCAGTGCGTATCCACGACTCCTGCACCTCGCAGGATTCGAACCCGGGACCTTCGGTATTGTGCGCGAACGCCTAACCATTGGACGACTGGGTCGGCATCTAAAACTGTTAATGTCTAACTCTGATTGATTAGGCATTAACATCGTTAGATGCCGACCCATATCAGGACGAAACGGCCGTCCAGTGCTTCCAGGTTTATAAAGGTGGTCTAACAACGATTGAATGATTATTTCAAATGTGTAAGAATTCATCAGAATTAATTATTTTCATGAAAGAGTTATGAAGATTATTGTGTTTCGTTGAAATCATGAGTTACAATTTACACATGACTGCACTTAACGAATTGGTACCTGCTCTCGGACTAGACTTCTTGGTACTATTAGATTAGGTGTCTGTTGCACTACTCATACTTCAACAAGACTAGACCCACAACTCTACACCATAGTCTTGTCTTGTTTTAGATTAATGAGACGTTGGTGTTCGTTAGCCATGCAACTAAGGGTGAGTTTAGGGATATTTCTCCAATCAACACAGAAGCTGTGTTCTTATGTCACTGAACTTTTGAGGCTGCCAATGAGGATGAGGGCTTGATATTTGTCTTCAGACTAAGATTTCAACCGAAAGCGTTCGCATTCACCGTTGACGATGCCCATATGCGTAAGAAAATCATCATCTTCCTTCATAATTAGCTTCAAACATCTATAACGCATATTAAACAATGACGAGTTGTCGCCAAAATGTTTGCCTAATGTCTGAACTGTATCTAAGAATGAGCAATCACGTGGGTTCAAAGGCAGGATTAAGTGACAGTATTTGTTCAGCCCAACTTTCGAAGTAGCAGCCGAAACTTCCAACCATCATTTTGATTGACGAAATCAAATTTAAATAAATGTTCATAACTCCGCAACTACATGTCAAAAGTAACATTAGCATCAGGATCATATTGAAACTCAGCATTGCTATTTGAAATGCCGTCTAGTGATGGAGCTGTGGTTGCATTAGATGAGCTGGGCTGTGTGGAACGGGAAATCTTGATATCTGTAAACATCTGCATTAGTTTCAGCTGCTTCCCAAGTAATAATTCTAGTTTATGAGGAACCATGTTTCCAAAACCACCGTCGCCAAATGATATGCTTGTAACTATTACGAGTTAATCTTACTCGCTAAACGGTACAAAGATCAATGATACATTGACACGATAGACTATTCTAATCCGTTTGTCCAAAGCCCCACTAACTAGATCAAGATGTCTTGATAGGGCGTAGAAGGTGTATTCTACAAGCACCCAGAAAATATGAGGTGGCTAAGCACACAAATCAAGCAATGATAGAAACGCCATAGGAAGAGCCACATAATAGCGCACTAAAATAATGCGTCAACCAGTAAGAGTCAAGTATTTTCTGAGTGGGAAAGGTAAGATAAAGGTCGACTTAACATCTCCGGGGCGAAAATATAGAAATTCAAAATTCCGTAATAAAATTAAAAAATTAGGCCGTTTTCCAAGTAAGTTGTGCGGATCTAAGGTCTTTAAAAATTACTCAACTCCGAATCCAGAAGAGAATCAGAATCCAGGACTAGGGATCCGGGACTGGGTCCTGATCCTGGTCCTGGTCATAAAACGTTACAGATAATGAGTATATATACATTTCGGTCGAATAGGAAACAGCTTCGAAGTCTGTGCAATTGACAGTTCAGACGACCAATAGGAAGCAACATTTGAAGTGACATTGATAGTCAGAACAACCAATAAGAAAACAGCATTGGAGCACGTGACATTGATATCTACTAGGACAACCATAAAATTGACCAGTATGAATTGAGCAATAATTCTCTTAGGATATTGAACGAATATCCTAACAAAACCAAATTCCAGCAGACGAAGAAATAAGGAAGAACAGCTGAATGTGGATAGGCCATACACTGAGGAAGGCATCCACCTGCGTCACAAGACAAGCCCTCACTTGGAATCTTCATGACCAGTACAAAAGAGGACTGACTACCAAAGAACACATTTCGCCGAGAAATGTTGACAGATATATTAAAGTTATCAATTACTTACTATTTCTGAGCAAAATTTACTGTTATTAAGCCAACAATTAAAAGAACTATGCACTGTTGTATACTCTTGACAATGTAAATCTTGCAACAAATTATAAGAACCTGTTTCTTTGCAGACTATAATAACGAAAAAGAAATAAGGTTATTTGTGTTAGAATAAGACTGACAATGTTAACAACGATACATGAAGAAAATGTCAATAGAAAAAATTAGCATTCCAGATTCTTTCATCAATTGAAGATGATTAGATTCTATGGTTTATTGATCGATCGATAGAGTGATCATAGAATGGCTTAATGTATGTTCTTTGATCAGCTGTTATGTAAGGTAACTTTATTGTAGGCTACATTTTTACTTTCAGTTTGTTTTCACTTGAACCACTCTCTCTCTCTCCGTCTCTCTGATTCATACATTCTTGTTTGGAAGTCATTATATTAATGATGAAGTAGGTACTTACTTACTTACTTTCTTACCTACTTACTTACTTACTTACTCACTTACTTACTTACTTACTTACTCACTTACTTACTTACTTACTTACTTACTTACTCACTTACTTATCTCATTACTTACTGATAACCAATCCTTCTCCTATATCCGAGTTCAGGAGCAGCTATGACTTCAGATGGGCTCCAGTCAGAGTAATAAATTAAGTGAATAAACTTCAAATCATCACTTTTTTAACACAGTAAAATGCTAAACAAGGCATGGAGTTCATTATAAGCATTCATGGAATTCCTCAAATATCAGACAAATCATATGCTCCATGTGTCTGGTCAAAATTTTCAAATTCATATGAATAACAGTCGTAGTCACTAGTTTATCAATTTCTAGATTGTAATTGACTTAGCGAACTATGTTAGACCGCCTAGTAATAGTAACAATAGACATTAATCAATTGAGATCTATTATTAGAACAAAAAAAGAATATAGCGAAGATGATGAGACGTGAGAAATAAAACAAATGAGAAACATTCCTGCTGATGACTTCTTGAGAATATTTGCAAAGTAGTTCATCCTTCCATAAGTAATGATGCCTGTTAACTCTCTTGGAATAAAGATCAATGACCAGTAACTTTCACCCAAAGCTGTTCTGCGACTTCTTCTCCAGTTCTACTCAAATGCCGTTCATTCTTTCCACGTCTGTCTACTATTCTCGGTGTAGTGTGTTTCTTGGTCAACCAATTTTCCTTTCGCCTTCAGCATTCCAAATTACAGCTTGCCTCGATATGCAGTTGAGTGGTTTGTGAAAAGTGCGTCCTAAACACTGTCTGCACATGTTACTCATTTCTTCCTCAGTTTGAATCTGATGTGTTCTGTCCCACAATGGTTTGTTGCTGATGGTGTCTGACCAGCTGTTGAGGAGTATCTTGTGTAGACAACTGTTAATAAACATCGATATCTATGGATGATGGCTTGCATAGTTCTCTAACTATCCGCTTTATACAATAGAACTATGTTCACATTCTTATATCAAATTGTGACTTTGGTGTTGGTTGGTAGATGTTTTGATTTCTACAAGTTTTTTAATTGTAGAAATGTTGATCTTGTATTGTCCATTTGTATGCTCACATATACATCCTCTTTATTAATCTATTTACTTGACTCTGTTACTCTTAATGGAGCATGGGACTCCGACTAGCATCTAATTAGAGAGGAAATCAGGAAAAAGCCGTATGTGGATAGAAAACTCTTTGGAGAAATCACCAAGCTGAATGACGAGACAATGCGTAATTTGGAATCTTGAAGGTGATAGGAAAGGAAGAAGATCAAAGAACACATGAAGCTGGAAACTGGCGACAGGCATCATAAGAATGAATGACACTTAAAAACACCTGGAAAGGAGAGCTTTTGACAGAGTTGACTGATGATTACTGGTCGTTGGTGTAGTCAACCACAATGATTCACAGGCATACGTAAATTCATGTGTACGTACAGATCATTTGAAATTCTAAACAAAATTATATTCGAAAACTCTGAAAATGTTTTGCTTACCTGGAAGTGGTCTATACTCGACTAATGTTCCAGATTTCACAGCAACTTGTGGAATGTTTTGTTCATTACGCTTTCCATAAAAATTATCATAGATTACTTGTATTGAAAATAGAAAAGACGATAATTAAAATTACCTAGTTAGTCAGTTAGTTAAATCTTATGAAATTAAGGTGTTATGACACGAAATTGAAGAAAGTTGATTGGAAATTGGTAAGACAGGTAAATTCATAATTAGATAACCATTTGATAAGATCAGCAGGATCTTTGGCGTTAATTTAAGTAACAGCCATTGGGTAGAAATGAATAGCAAGTCTTGAGACAAAACTAGGTTGGAGTAGGCTGGTCAGTAGCTCAAGCTCCATGATGGGCCATAGGCGTAAGTAAGTAAGTCGGCAATAATATCTTCCAGCTGTTGTAAGCAAGTATTTCGGTTTCAAAAGTACAATTTCTTACACACGCACAAACACACCTCATGAGTGTCGATCACGAACAACAGACTTATAGAAGTAGTGTACATCTAATATTTTAAAACTGCTCATAAAAACCACTAATGACTAGTCTCAAAAATTTGAATCATGATTACTTCAGTCACCCCCTTAAGTCGTTATTAAAACCTTTAACTGTTACGCCTGCACGTAAACACGTCATTCTGATATGCTTGAACTATTACGAGAGCGAGGATCGAGGATCCGGTGACACGACATGATACTCAAATCCGATTATCTCAACCCCCATATTTAGTCAAAATAAGAAGACGTGATATGAGGTAGAACCTGTATTCTACAAGCATCCAGAAAGTATGAGGTCCGAATCCAGAAGAGAATCAGCATCCCGGACTAGGGATTCGGGACCGGGTCCTGGTCCTGGTCCTGGTCATAAAACGTTACAGATAATGAGTATATATACATTTCGGTCGAATAGGAAACAGCTTCGAAGTCTGTGCAATTGACAGTTCAGACGACCAATAGGAAGCAACATTTGAAGTGACATTGATACTCAGAACAACCAATAAGAAACAACATTGGAGCACGTGACATTGATATCTAGGACGATCATGAAATTGACCAGTAGGAATGAACCAATAGGAATTGACCAATTATTGTCTTAGGATATTGGATGAATATCCTAACACTAACCCAGTTTCATGTTACGGCTTGCTTTGTGACACAGTTGGATGCTATCCTGAGTGTGTGTGTCCTATCCACACCCAGCACCTTTTCGTAATTTCTTCCTCAATTGGAATTTAGCTTGCTGACTCCCACAGTAGGCTGTTGCTGATGTTGTCTTTCCAACGGATCACCAATATCGGGCTTGAGCAACAGTTAAATGATAAACACCTGCATCTTTTGGATTACTGATTTTGTAGTTCTTCAGTTCATAGAAGAATTTTGATATTTGTATTTAAACTTGTAGTTTTGCTGTTGGCTGATAGTTCTTTTGAGTTACAGAAGTCCTTCAATTGTAGATATGTTGTCATTGTTTTGTCAATCCCTGTCTCTACATCTGCATCAGATCTATCTTGCTCATTATTGATGCTGCCAGGTATGTAAAGGTTTCCATATCTTTGAGAACTTCTTCCTCAATTGTAATTTGGTTGGTGCACAATGTGTATAGTGGAGGATCTAGCTATCCTGTTATGAAAATTATCATGTGCTCATTAGCGACTAGCTCCATGAGGAGATTTTTAGAGTTTATGTGAGAAGCCGTGTGATCAGTAGAGGTCAAGCCTATTCAATAGGTCAGTCAGTTAAAACGTAGAACATCGTACGTACGTAAGTACCTACGTCATTTCAGGTTCCCATACCGCGTCAGCATAGAGACGCAACTGTCAGTTCAAATCCCATAGTGGTAGTGTGGTAGCGCTACTTATAAAAAGTATATGACGCGATTAAAAACGTAATGCCTGGCAGCAGAAAATAAGCGGAAGATCAAGAAAGGAAGAGCGGGAATACAATGGGGTTTGTATGAAACGCACGAACAGTGAAATGTCAGACAATGGATTGATGTTTGCAACAGGAACAGTCCAGTTCGATATGATGGATTGATATTTTGCAGATTAACGATTTACGATATGGTTTTTCGGTTTTACCAATTAACTCTGTAATTCGAGATAAATACAAATCAGCCAACATCTACCGACAACCTCGCCAACCGGAACTTCTGCAGCGCTTCCTCCCTGTCCACTGGGCTGTCGAACTCCGTTGTCAGCCGCTCCGTGACCGTCTTCCATGTCGTCTTCCCGCCAGTACCGCCCCCAGCACCGCCAACTTCGCTTTCGGCTACTTTACACCCTCCAGCTACGCCACGGCCCCAAGCTCCTTCAGGAAGCTCAGCACAGCCCCGACCTTAAATTCCTTCGGCCACGGAATCTTCACCCTAAGTGTAGGCAGCGACACCAAATGTAGTGAAACATAACCCAGGTGAGGGCCATGTCATTCAAGGTCTCGAACCATTGGTGACTTTCGTCTTACGGACCCCAACCAGGTAGTCGACACCTATCAACATGACTCAATCCAGTTTTCAGTGACTTCATGCATTTCTGCCATGTTTTGTTTTGGCCGCCTCTATCTTTCTTCCAACCTACTCCTACTTCACAGAATATAGCTCTTCAAGGCAGTCGGTGGGTAGGTATACGCGACGCATGTGCGCAACACCTCAATTGATGAAGATTAAATACCTTATCTATTGGTCTGCCATCCCTACTCAGTACTCGTTTCCTAACTATAGTATTGCTAACTCGTTTGTCCCAGAATATACAAGCAAATCTTCGAAGACATCTATAATCGAAAACCAGTAACCGACGAATATCTTCTACTCTCACTGGCCAAGTTTCGCATCCATATAGTAGGACGGAGCGAACTACTACACAGTCGGCTCGTCCTTTGGTTAGCAAATGGATATCTCGCCTACGCCATAAGTGACGCAAGTTGGCAAAAGCTAATAGAGACTTCTGTATCCGTGCTGAGATTTCGTCAGTAACCAGATCATCAGAACTGATGAGACTCCGCAGATAAGTGAAGCGGTTCACCCGAGAGGATGGATGAGGTTGCGCAAGATAGTGGATTAATCAAAGTTATGTATGTATATATATATATATATTTGAATCAATACAAAATGAGCTTACATTTATTGTCTTTTACCACATGAGTGCCATATCGTAGTCCCAAGTTAGGCAGCATCGATTCAAATACATCTGGAACCTACATTTTTAAAAATAATCGGATCTTCCTTATATAATCAGCCATTATGATCAAAAAGATAATAAAAGTTGGATAAATTCTCACCAAAACTCTAATTAGGTAAATAAAAATCATCCCATTTATAACAAAAGTTACTAATATCCTTTCTTGCTTGAACTTGTACTAATGTGATATGAAGATTCATAGGCATTCAGTTTACTGTTCAATAAGTGTTGATAAGTCCACTATTTAAACGACTAACCGTCCGATAGTTTATCCAGGTAATTGCAACAAGATCTATTCTATCCTTCTAGTCATTTAGCTTTGTTAATTGATAATTTCTAGCGATCGTTGAATGAGGGGAAAAAACACAACGTTAACTTTACTAAACTAAGTGAATCGTGTGTTGTACAGGATTCGATTGTAGGTCTGATGCACAAGCTTCCTCAGCATAAGTTCAGACAGTCATCTCAGTGAAAAGATCAACAATGAGAAAGAAGCTTTACAGACTTAAACTGAGTCAAGGAATGCATATTTGTCTATTTTCATCTTGGAATTAGTATCAGACAACAAACTACCACTCTTGAATGAATTTAATGACAAGGAACAGCTCTTTGATTGCATGCATGTTAAACCGAAAACAAATACTTAATGGATGAACTTTCAAAGAATCTCTACCTCTCAAACTTCCACAGGAAACTTTTGACAATCTGATCACAAAGAACTAAGTAAACAATCACTGAAAGGGTACTTGTGCTCTACAAAGTAAATACATCGATATGACAAAAAGGATCAGTAAGATGGTTAGGGATTCTTGTAACGCCTACATGAACAACAGCCCAGCGGTTAAACATCACATCACAACGTAACGTTTATCATTTCATTGAATGCGAATAACTATGGATATTATTTCGATCAGCAAACATCAGAATTGACCTATTCTACCAAACTATACAATGAGGGATAACCAACTCTACCGCCAGACGGGAAAAATAATCGAAAGAAATATATGAATAACAGTTGCACATAACACGATGAACAGAAACCAACTGAATTCACACTCAGCAAAGTAGCCAACTAATCAATTGTGAAGAAATTCAATAAACCGACTTCTTATTTCAAGTGTATGCCTATGTAGTTGTAGAGAAATGCAACACATCCGTTATAAGTTGAAGACACATTTTTCGAACAACAGTTTGAGTCTCGATCCTGACCATTTACATACGCTTATCAATGAACCATTGATTAACGTGTTCAATGTATTGGCAAATACTATTCAAACTATGAGTTTATCAGTTAGTATACATTGATGTTCAATGATTAAAGATTTTCAAAATCTTGTCTCAACTTGAACAGAATTATTTCATTTTCTATTGAGTACGATCTAAATGGTCATTTTACATGGAAACTCTGTTAGTGTAGCTATTAAATTTAGTCAGTCATTCAGTCAGTTAGTCTTCTACAACGTAGAACTTCGCACTTAAGTAGGTGTTGCCGTTACACACTAACACAGAGAGATAGAACTGCTAGTTCGAATCGCACAATAGTAGAGGTTGTAGTAGTATTAGCCGAAGTCGGAAACAATGTGGATCGAAACATGATTCGAGAAGCATAACACAGTGAACCCTGTTGCTTATGAAACGGCTGTAAAATCCATGAGGTTGCGCAATATCTTGGATAGATTAACGTTAGACAGTAACACTGGTTAATGCCGGTTTAGTAGTCTAGATTTTGAGCGTTCGCGTGTGAGACCGAAGTTCTTCGGTTCGATTCCCGCATGTAGAGGTCGTCATGGGTGCGCACTACTGATGAGCCTCATACTACTTAAGTTTCTCTATAGCTGGCAGACTACAAATGATACAATTCACATGATTTCAAAATTGAAAATTTTTTTGGTTACAGATTCTCTTCTTCTATCATTCAAACTGACCTCATTACAATAGATTGATATATTCCCATTTGGCATATAAAATACATGATTACTTCAACTGAAAATGTATAGTGTATCATATAAATCGATTTGAATATATTCAATGACAAATTCTGGAATAATAGTTGATAGTTTTGAAATTTTTTGTTTAAAGACAAAAAACTGGTTTCCACAGCTAGAAATTCTTCATTTTTATAAAATAGATGTATCTCAAATATGTTGTGATATAATTTAAACATACCATCATCCGTAAATGGTGTTTCACTGATCATCGGTGAACTTGCATCGATCCATTTGATTGCTAAATAGTTTTCTTGAAAATGTGAACAGTTTTGACAAGATAATCAAGCATAAATCTGGTTATCATAATCAAAAATTAGCGATAAGAATATGATTATCATTTCAACAATATGGAACAAGATATTCAACTTGTTTATGTGCCTAGACTAAACTCCACTTGGAACCCTTCTAGCTAGAGTTACTGTGGATTCTAATCCCGGATAACGGAGCAGAGTTGTGTATGGGTTTAACAATCCACATTCTTCTGTAGTAATTTCCTGTGTGGGCTATTTATCAAATATCCTTAAGTCTGATTCTATTGGTCAATATTTAAGGTCATCCTATGCCATCAATTTCACATACTTTGTTATTTCCTATTGGTTAGTATTCACCGTAGACCTAACTGCATAAATATGTATTGTCTGTAAAGTTTAATGCTCCTCTTCGATTTTCTGGGTGCTTGTAGAATACACTTTCAACGTCGTATGAAGACATCTTCATACAGTTAGCAGGGCCAAGGGACCCTCGGATTAGAGTAGCTTATCGTGTCACTGGATCATCTGTTTTAGCTCACGTTTACCAACTAAGGTGAACTCGTAATAGTTTCAAGCATATCAAAGTGACGAGCGTAATACTGTTTTATTCAACCGTAGATGTTTGTTAAGAAAAACGTATTATTTTTACAGAACCACTAGAATTTATTTGTGAAGAATTTCAGGTCAAATTTGAATCTGATCAATTTGTTTTGGTTGTTTCACTGAAGGAACGTCTTGTTACTGTCTGTAATGACCTGCTTTCAGTATAGCCAGTAAAGGCAGTTCAAGATATAGCTGGAATTCTAATTTAGAATCTGTATACGTGCAGGATAAGCTACCTTGTCTGATCGTCTTCAAATGTATATTTATCAGCTGTTGTGGAATAAGGTAAACAGAGCGTAAAGACAGTGATTGCTTCCAACTGGAATACAAGACGATGTCGTTGTGTGGTTCTTCAAAAATGAGAGAGAAAAGCAATTAGAAGTCCGATTTGTGAACAATTAATCGATTCCAATCACATTCCACTAATCAACAGGTTGATTTTAAGGCTATTTATACAACCTGCCTGGATTTCTTCGCATCTAACTGCTTAAAACATATCAGAACCTCATACCTTTCCATGAAATGAAGCCAGATGTATGTGTGCGTGTGTGTGAAGAGACCTTTTCATTGAACGTTGTGTTCCAAATTTAAATTTGTTAGTCGAATGTATCATCTATGTCGTTATATCAGTGTTAACATTGAAAATTAAATCAAATTTGTATCATCTTCTCTAAACTTACCATTATGGATTACTTTTATTGTATTCATAGTTGGCATCGCATTGAAAACTTTAATTAATTCTATCGGATATGGACTTGTCAAATTACATTCTAAAGGTACATTTTTCATTTGTAAAAACAA